CCCATGTGCCTTAGGTACTCTGAATAAGAGAACGTTTCAGTCTCTTCTGACATCCACTCTGACTTTTTGTTTTTCCCCTTTCCTGTCTTTTTAAAGACCTTTTGTTTGCTTTCTTCATGAATGATGCTCTTGAGTCCTCCCATAGTTCATCAGGTTTTCTGTCATGAATGTTCAGTGCAGCAAATCTGTTCTTGAGATGTTCTCAAAATTCAGGTGGGATAGACTCAAGGTTATATTTTGGCTCTAGTGGACTTCTTTTAATTTTCTTCTACTTCAACCGGAATTTGCATATGAGCAATTGGTGGTCTGGTCCACAGTAGCCCCTAGCTCCTGATATCGAGCTTCTCCATCATCTCTGCCCATACATGTAGTCAGTTTGATACTTATATGTTCCATCTGGAGAAATCCATGTGTAAAGTCACCTTCATATTGTTGAAAAATATTTTTGATGAAAAGTTGTTGGCCTTGCAAAAATTCTATCATGTCATCTCTAGCTTCAGTTCTATCACCAAGACAATTTTCTAACTTTTGCTCCTTTCTCTTTGTTTCCAACTTTGCATTCTAATGAGCAATGATTATCAATGCATCTTGATTGCCTGTTTGATTGATTTCCAACGGAAGTTCTTGGTAGAATTCTTCAATTTCTTTCTGACTAGCTTTCCTGGTTGGTGCATAAATTTGAATAATAGTTGTCTTGACTAGATTTTGTTGAAGGTGGATCAATATAATCCTATCACAGACAGCATTGTACTTGAAGATAGATCTTGTAATGTCCTTTCGGATAATTGATGCAATGCTATGACTCTTGATTGTATCATTCCCAGTAGAGTAAATCATATAATTTCCTGACTCAAAATAGCCTATGCCAGTCCATTTCAGCCTGCTAGAACATAGAATATCTTTATGTGCTCCATTTCATTTTTGATGATTTTTAGTTTTCCCAGATTCATATTTCTTACATTTCAGGTGCCTCTTAGTAGTCTATTCATACGTGGTTTCTTCCTACATTCAGTTGTGTCCCATCAGCAAATGAAGATCCCGAAGGCTCCATTCCCATCACCACGTTTCACTGCACTTTGAGAATGCAGCTCCTCCTCAATCACATTGTGAGTGCCCTCTGTTCAGAGAAGCCCATCCTCTGGCACTACCTCCAACACTGTGCAGCTTCCATTCACTGTGTTGTAGCTTAGACACCTTTACATAACCCATGCTCCTTTGGTACTAAAGTTACTTGGAAATGGCTGGAACCCAAGGTCACAAATACTTCCTCCAATTTTTTTCTTCCATTATATTATCGTTTTAGGGTTTATTACTAGGTCTGTGATCAATTTTGTTATGTTTTGAGTACATTGTGAGGTGTAAGTCGAGATTAATTTTCTTTTTCATATGAACGCTCTGATGTCATCTGTTGAAGAAGCCAGCCATTTCTTCCTTGAGTTGCCTTTGAACCTTAATCAAAAGCCATATTTTGGTGGGTTTATTGTTAGACATTGTATTGCTTTGGTCTGTGTGCCTATCCTTTTCCCCTTTGGATCAGTAGATCAGTTTGGAGAGAACTGACACCTTAATGGTAATTGAGTTTTCCAGCCCATACATGTGTTCTGGCCCCCCTTTTATGTAGATCTTTAATCCTCTCAACAATGCTTTACAGATTTCAGTGTAGATTTCTTTTACATCTTTTATATCAGATTTATCTGGAGTCATTATTTGATGCAATTATGCAATTACAGAAATCATTTATTTATACGAATGATGGTCATCCTTATCTTTGGTCTTCTGAACACCATGTACATCTTTACCTCTGGCTGCTTTTAAAGTATTACCTCAATCACTACTGTTGAGCAATTTGCTTGTGAAGTACCTTCATGTAACTTTCTTCATTTTTCTTGTGGTTGGAGTTTGTTGGGATTCTTGAATCTTTACATTTATAGTCCTCTAAAATGTGGGAGTCTCAAACTACCTTCATTTTCTTTTTACTGATAATTACATATAATTTTATTCTATAGAAAATTTTAAAATAAATTCTACATGGCAAAAAAGACCATCTGCAGTGTTAAAGGGAAATAACATTGGCAACTCCGATAATAGATACAGAGCGAATTTCCCTATTTTGTAGAGTTTCTAGAAATAGATTAAAAAAAATCTAATCCAATATTAACAGAAAAAGAAGGTTCTCTCCAGGTATGGTCAGAGAAACCTCTCTCGAGATGTACATTCAAGTAAAAGAAAAGAAAACAAACCAGCAAGCATATAGGGTATGCTGC